CTTGTAATCCCTATGTGCACTGGCTACTATATATAGAGCTTACAAATTAATAGCAATATGAAGGCTTGACCGCACCAGCTCCGGGGGAGGGGGAGCGGCCATCACTGCGAGACTGAACATCAGTTGCCGGCTACTACCAAGCTTCCAGCTGAAAATTATCGAAGCCATCGGAGTTGAGGTGAGCACATCGCTTGGTCCAATCGCGGTCTACTGCCCCAATCAAACCAACATTAGGGACGGCTCGGCCGCAGACCTCCGAAGAGACATCAAACTAACACGACGGCGGCAAAATTTCGTCATCGCTGGCGACCTGAACGCCAAGCATCAAGCCTGGGGCAATATTCGGCGAAACCAGAACGGCACAATCTTATACAACGATCTGCAGGAAGCCCACTACAACATCCACTCCCACCCGGTTGAGTCGATCCGGAGCTCATGCCATCAACGACATCTTCATCAGCAACATTGGCGATACCATCTCTCAACCTATCGCCTATCGGGAACTGAGCTCGAACCACTATCCGGTGGTGGCCGAAGTAGGTTCCTCGGCCAATAGGTTTCAAGTTTCCCGGCGAAATTACCATCGTGTCAACTGGCAGCAGTATCAGCGCTGTGTGGACACAGCAATCGATTACGACGTTCTACCGGAGTCGTTCGAAGAAGTCGATCAGTGTCTGCAAACCATCGAAGAGGCGATATCCCGTGCCAGGGAGCAACACGTATCAGCATCCCTACATGTGAGTCATACTCTCAACCTTGACAGTCCAACCAAAGATCTTATCAGGCTCCGTAACACCATTCGTAGGCAGTTCCAGCGTTCTGGGCTGCCCCACTTGAAGACCAATGTCCATAGGCTAACCAAAATTATCCAGGCCAGGATGGTGGAACTCAGAAATAACAATTTTGCCTACAAGATTCGCTCTCTCCCAGATTGTGCAAAACCATTTTGGAAGATGACCAAAATTTTGAAAAATAAGTCGAGACCGATCCCTCCGCTTTCCTCTGTTGACCAGAACTTGGACCCATCCCTACTCATAACCCCAGTTGAAAAGCCAATGCTCTTGGTCAACATTGGTTGTGATTTCACATAATCTTGTCCAAACCATGGTGAGCCCCCTTGGGCCTGCCGTACTGGAGGCAATGTATAGAGTCGCTGACACCCCCGTAGTAGTGCATGATGATAGTAGAATATCGGCTGATGAGGTGATAGCAGCTGTTAGAAGCACTAAAAACATGAAGGCCGCGGGTATAGATGGTGTAGGCAACCTCGAGTTGAAAAACTTGAGTATTGACTTCTTCAACCATCTTACCGTTATCTTCAACAAATGTTTGGAGCTTGGCTACTTGCCTGCATGCTGGAAGTTAGCCAAAGTGATTCCAATACACAAGCCTGGCAAAGATCCTACCAGTTCCAAAAGCTATAGCTTTGTCCTCCATCTCGAAGCTTTCGAAAAGTTGACACTCAACGGTCTGCTGGTGTTTTCAAATAATAAAAACATCTTTCTCAAAGAGCAATTCCGGTTTAGGAAAGGCCACTCTACCATCCACCAACTCGCACGGGTTACTAACATCATCAAGCGGAATAAGTCCGTTTCCAATACATCTGCCATGGCATTGGTGGACGTCGAGAAGACGTTCGACAATGTCTGGCATGATGGTCTAGTGTACAAGCTGCATCGATACAACTTTCCGATCTACCTCGTGAAGATCATCAAAAACTACTTGTCGGGCAGATCATTCCAGGTCTATTTGAACAATACGTTCAACGTTGATGCAGGGGTCCGTCAGGGTAGCCTGCTTGGGCCTATCCTATTCAACATTATCACGTCAGACGTTCCTCCCCTGCCGGGTGGTGGCATCCTGTCAATGTTCGCAGATGACACCTCCATCATCTATAAGTGTCGAGAGATCCATGCTCTGTAGAGTAAACTACAATTAGGCCTGGCTGTTCTGAACGACTATTTCAAGAGCTGAAAGATCTGTATCAATGCAGCTAAAACACAAACCATTCTGTTTTTACACCCAAATTCACCTCGGCTTGTTCCGTCTGCTAGCGTCAAGATCCATCTTGATAGCACTCCGATTGAATAGTCGAGTGAAGTAGTCTACCTTGGTCTCACCCTCGATAGCAAATTGCTATTCCGATCCCATGTGGAAAAGACATCCACCAAGTGTAACATCTTGATCAGGTCGCTCTACCCTCCGATAAACAGGAAGTCCACCCTGTCCCTCAAAAACAAGCTTGCTGTCCACAAGCAGATCATTCTGCCGGTTATTGAGTATGGTATGTCAATCTGGGAGAGTTGGGCTAAGTGCCACCACCTAAAGCTTCAGAGGATCCAAAACAAGAACTTGTAATTCTGAGATTCACCACCTGGCCGGTCTTCAAACGCTCGAGGAGCGAAAGACTTCCACGCTGGAAAGGTTCAGAGTCGCCTGTCTGCGATCAAACCACCACATCATTCGTGATTTGGCAGCCTAGTTTAAGTAGTTAGATAGGCTCCTGTGCTCAAATAGGTAGGTTATCTTCGTTTTAAATTCAAACGAAAACAATCCCATAAAAGGGTATCCTGTAAATTAGTGCTAAACACAATCATCACATTAGAATAACCAATAGACTGATGCAAAATTTGACTTTTTCGCTCCACAATACTTAAACGATTCCAAATCGGATCCTGACTAACCTCTCAAAATTTGAACCCATTTGGTGAGAAACTGAGATGGCACAAACCTGATGAAGTTTGTATGGGAATTACTATGGTAAAACCAAGATTTTTGTTCATGTCTATCTAATAATTCACCATATCGGTCTGCTTCCAAAGCTTTCAACTGTACTTGTAGGAAATTTTCCCAGCTACAACTTTGCTCAAGAACACTTTTTGATTAAATGCAAGGATCGAAAGTTATCAATGGTTCAATGCGCTGATGTCTTATGATCATGCTCAACCAACTGCTCAGCAGGCAACATTGGTGTTTCTGGGGCGTTGAATAGGACACAAAAATCATGGCTACTATGTCACACTGCAAAATACAGTGTTGCCTATAGAGCAGCTGCTTGATCATGTCATAAGTTTATCAATCTCTTAAATAAATAATAACTTTTTCCTGTCTCGTTTTACATAGAAACGATCTTCAGCAAAGTTGTAGCTGAGAAAATTTTCTTTAAGAATAGCTATCGAACCGTTTCGCAGCTCAATATGGAAAAAGACTAGAAAGCAATGAACAAAAAGTTGAGATTTCCCATAGTAATTAACATGTAAACTTCAAATGGCTTGTGCGAAGTCTGTTTCTAACCAAATGAGTTGTAACTTTTGGAGGCTAATCAGGACCCGATTTGAAACCATTTAAGCACTGTGGAGCGAAAAAGTCAAATTTTGCATCAGTCTAATAACCAATTAAATAGTACAAAGATGAAGAGCCAAAGGCTAACCAATTGAAATGTTAAACCAAATGTTGTAACTATAAAAAACCAGAAAATAAACGTAATTTTTTATTAATAGCAATATGATAAACATTAGAGAGGGTCTAGTATAAGAGAGGAGCGCCTAGGTGATTTTTAGCAACACTGCCAATGCAATCAAGATAGGCACTGCTCGATTGGCTCTGTCTTTGACAGTTCGTTTGGCTCAAAACTTGCCAGTCCGCTCCTCTCTTATACTGGACCCTCTCTAGTTTTGAGCCAAACGAACTGTCAAAGCCAGAGCCAAACGAACAGCGACTATCTTCATTGCATTGGCAGTGCTGCTAAAAACCACCCAAGTATACATAGGATGCCAAGGCTCTGCTCTTCTCTTATACCTTCTCTAATAAACATCTCCCCACGCACCGAACGTCAATCATAACTGTAAATGGGTCAACCTGGACAGCCTCAACTGGCGCAGCATCCTGTCTCCAGACAGGATGTCGTCGCTATTTATGTGTATTTGCGACATTTCCGTCCTTTCATGATGAAAGCCGAAATCAAATATCCACCGCCGGCCGACCGGTGGCACATCACAGTACAGTAGGTATGCCGCAGTAAGTAGGTTGGTCGGGGGAGGGCAAAGTGTTTCTTTTCTATTTTCCCACCCCATAAGTAGTGGATTCAAGTAACAAGATGCCCTTAGGCTTGATTCAAATCTCATGATTCTCAGGTAGTGACATTTGGGGTAAAATATAGGGAAATTACTACTAATCTAAAAAGAAAACTAAGAAGTATCACAAATACGCAGGACGATTAAAAAGCACTCATTTCGACCACCTGACTCAGGGAAAAAAAATTAATTGTAAAATTATATAAATTCATTTCGGTTCGGTAGGATTTACTTAAAACTTTCAATCCGAGTCAGGACGAACTGAAACACAAAGTCCCCATGTCCCCTACGATTGGATGAAAGTATGTATGTATACGGTGGAGTGGGTCAGCAGAGCAGATGAAAGCAACAACCGCACGATGTGGGCATGGTTGTTTGTTAGTGGCTTTTGAGGAGCGCAAAAATGTATGAGATGGAGGTGAAGGAAGATGTGAGCACACTGTATATACAATATAAAGCTTTTGCACATTCAACAGCGTCGCCAACCAGAATAGAGATGGTGGTGGGGTGGGAATGGACACAAAAGTGTAATTAAAACGAGAGAAATAAGTGAAATACAAAGGTGAACAAAAGACACCGAATGGAACTGATTTTAAAGCGAAATTTAGCACAAAACACGATGCTGGCCTGAAGCAATACAGAAAGCTTCTTGTTAGTTGGTGGGATACTATGATTAAAGGTCGTATCCACAACCACGTTGGTCAGAAGCTGAGAATGGACTTGTTAAAAGCAAAGAATTAAAAGAAAATACCATGATAATAATTTCATAAGTGTGATTGTGTAGAATGTGATTCTATTGCTGCTTGCAAAAAGCTTGTTATAAGAAGCGTTAGTTATAAGTAGGTTCAGAATCTGTTATCATAGAGTGTGTTGATATCTTGTGTACTGGTGGATGATGGCATAGGCGTTGGAAAATGGCACACTTACTTTTTCAACAGCATCCGAATGTGGGTTTCCGGGACGGTTGGGAACATGGAGTTGATCTTGGCAACGGTGGCATCGGTATCGGCGGCACTGACATTGCTGGAAAATGACGTCTCCTGCATTGCATTGCGCCCGAGGCCCATTCGAGGGGTGTGTGGGCTGGACCGAACTATTGGCGATAGCTCCTGTTGCGGAGATGGAAAAGGGTGGTGGGTGTTAGTGAAAAAAAGGTCAAAGTGTGACATGGAGATAACGTACAGTTGGAGCTGGGTTTATTTTTAGAACTACGTAGAATAAGAGCAAATAGGGCACGCGAGGTACTTACGATAGGTTGTTGTTGTTGCTGCTGCGGTTGCTGCAATTTGGTGGTTAAATTGGGACTAGCTGTTAGACTGGGAACACCTGAAGGTGGATTCTGGAAAGCTTGCTGAGCTGGGTAGAACGAGTTACTTGAAGGGTACACGTGATAGGGAGAACCATGCACTGGCTTTAATTTTAACAGGGCAGCAAATTTCCGCGGTGGGTAGGACAAATTGGATTTATGTTTTTTTTTGTGGTACAACATTACACGGTAGTAACATAGCATAGAACGAGAGAGAGAAGAAAGATACATAGAGGTTGCTCAACATTAAGTCAATATGTACAACAGGGTACTAGCAGCACTTGGCGGGATTCCACGATGCCCTGGAAAAATAAAATCGCAACAACAAAAAACCGAACAACTAAAGCAAGAGTTACCTGCACCGAGATGCTGTCGTTTGAGATGTGCAGCGGGGCCCCCGTTTGTAGTTGGCGAATTCGAGCGCGCGGATCCTCCCATGATGTCGTTTTCGTGAATAGATTCACGTAATAACTGGTGCGAAAAATTCAAAATTTCATTATCCGAGCATCCTGAAGTTATGCAATCGTGAACAACATATTTGCGCGAGACGAGATGACTGAAGGAATGTAAATACGTATGCACCATCCTAGAACAGGGACGCCATATTGTTTTTCGTCTCGTTCAAAATTAGCACCAATTTGTTTTTTGCTTTATCTCTTCAATCACCACATTTCGGCATACATTTTCACCACCAGAAACATTTGAACTCAATCTTCAACCGAGTGGCACTGGTTTCAACTTACTATCGGCCCGTTCGGGCATCATATCTACAGTCCCAGCCGGGAGGTAAACTCATCTGTTCGATCTGCTCCGACATTCTCACTCGTACTGAACTGTGTGATGGAGCCTACATTCTGGCGTTTTCACTTTTCTACGCCTTGTTTTTTTCATAACATCAAAAATAGCACCATCCATCATCATCCCGTCATGGGCATCGTCATCGTTCAAGATGATGATAATTTGTGATGATTTTTCGTTTCAGGGCTGCCAGATAGTAACCCATATTCTTGTTTTCGTTCGAACCGTATTTTTTTTGTATGGAAAATACGGTTCGAACGAAAAGAAGAATATGGGTGATTGTGTAAGCTACACACTTAGAAAATAATACCGAACTCGGTTTATTTTTCTACCGAACCTCTTCGGTTACCAACGAGAAACCGAATTAAGGATTTAAAACAATTTTATCAGGCGTATTTATCGAATCAGACCCGAATTTCGGTAAAAATAGTATAAATTCGACAGATAGACTGAACCGAGAAGTACGATAATGTATCGACATTTAAGAATTCGCTACGTGAAAATTGATAAACTCGATAAACTGAACCGAATATTCGCTAAAATGTGTTAAACGTCAAACGTTCCACTTGCGCTCAACTTCGCGACGGAAATTTTAACCGAAAACTCGGTTCTCTAAGCTGAGTCTAAAATTAGGTAGCCATTTTTTCTCGCATGTGCTCGTCGGACGTGTGCAAAACTTTAGTAAAAATGGAAAAAGTTTTGGAGCAGCTGCAACAGGAGGCTGCACGTTTGATTTAAATCTTTTGTAAGTATTTGAAACTAATGGTATGATTTTATTTGCGGGCATCTTGTGCTATAGTTTGTTTCTTTCTCCTGCCGTGAAAATATATAAGGTTATGCCTCTGGTTTGCAAAGGCATCTTAAAAACCATTTGAATAAGAATGACTTCAAAGTCAGTGATATTTTTTTGACTGTACTTTTTCACGCTGTAACTCGCGTTACGGAAGTTTTTATCCACAACAAATTAAATAAATATATTGCATACATTTCTTTGACAAAACTGGTTTTATTTTTATGAAAATTCAAAGTAACGCATCCGTAATCAAAATTTAAAGCAGGATTTGAAGTGAAAACCGAGCGCTGCCCAAGAGAACCGAATTCCATAATTACAACAGGTGGGTCGGTTTGTTTGACAGCGTTCGGTAATTCTTGAGTAAACCGATGTTCGGTTATTTATGTTTAAATTTATTTTACGTCAACCGAGATTTTCGGTAACTTTGACAGATTGTGGGTAGCAAAAAGAACTAATGACAGCTCGGTTATTCCTCTTTGAACCGAACAGGCTACCGAGCGTTCAGCAGATAAAAACTCGGTTGATATCAAACCGATTTCGGTAATATTTTCTAAGTACACACACTCTAAAGGGCCGCGTATATTAGATCCGTTTGCGTTTTGTTGAAGTAAATTTGACAGTTAGACAATAGATTTATCTGGTACATTGCCGCAACCCGTCAGATCCGGATATAATGTGGGTGGCCCCCGAGGAGGACGAGTCTATCTACGATGCAGGAAATATTGTGTTTTGCTGTGGCTAGCTGCGCGTACGCTGAGTAGATAGAAAGAAGATTTATCACGATTTTGAAGACTGCAAAAAGATGATGCGCAATGCAAGTAGATGCGACAAATGAAAGAAGATTTTTCGAAGAATTATTCGCTAGTGTGAGATTTTTTGAGCATCTAGAATTGAGATTTAGATGTGTCGCCCTCCTCGGTGGCCCCTAAGAATTGTTAACTTAACTTAACTTAATAGAAAACCCATACCATGGACCTCCGGTAATCTGAACGTTCTCAACCTTTCAGAGCTCACGCCGTTGTATAAAGTACACACACTTAACCAGCATTTAGATGTTCGGTTTTTTTTAACTGAACTGTCAAACAAAACTTTTATGGAAAACCCAGTTAAAATCAGACGCATAAGCGACATTCAGTAAGTAAAAACAAAGTTTCGTTATCGTTTAATGCAAAACACTTTCCCCTTAATAAATATTTACGGATATTTACGGAATCCCTTTATGAAGAGCTTTGAGTGTGTTGGTTTATTTCCTTTAAATTCCGTTATAATTGCTTATCTTTTGACAGATACGCGTATTTCGTCAACTACTTGCAGACTTCATCAGTGCCAGTGGTGTTGAGTACTTGGCACTGATGAAGTCTGCAAGTAGTAGACGAAATACGCGTATCTGTCAAAAGATAAGCAATTATAACGGAATTTAAAAGAAATAAACCAACACACTCAAAGCTCTTTCTAAGAAAAATCAGTTAAAATAAATACTGTACAAACCTAGGTACAAACAGTATTGCTGATTGCATCTGAAACTGGACTATCCCAAAAATGCAAAAAGTGTGATAAAAGTGCACGTTTCCGTCAAATCGTTTTGATGTCTTGGGAGCACTTATTGCTTGCATCATAAGGAATAAGCCACCGAAGACACCAAGACGATTAGACGTAAACTTGCAGTTTTATCACACTTTTTAATAAGTGAAAACGCGCTTATTAGTCCAATTTGGTGGGAAACGCGCAATATTGGTTTTATACTGAAGATTCATCAAAACGGCCATAACTTTTACTAATCTTGAATTGTAAAATTCTAATTTTTTTTTCAGCCACCAGATTCGCTAATGTGAAAATTGCGTCCCCGAGGTAAGACGTGTTCCGCAGAGCTCCGGCGCTGGGAGATTCCTGGGAGTTAATAACGGAGTTGCACAAAAATCGATTGCAATTATGTGTTAAACTTTTGAATAGTGATAATTATAATTAGAAATTATGGATTTTATCGTGGAATGGCATATCTCAAAACAGTCACATGATACGATACTTAAAATTATAAAATACTTTTAATTAATTCATGGTTAGCTATGAAATTATTGGATGATCATTGGAAGATAATTATTCATTGACGGAATCATGAAATGTGTTCAAACGAGCATTGAAATTCATAATTTGATTAATGGATCGTAACTGGAGTTGGTAACGGTAAGTTTGGTCAGTGACGTTTGACGAATAACAAAAATAAATTGACATCTTTTCCATACATCCTTCGTCATTGACGAAGAGAGTCTGACTGTAATCCCTTTGAAGAAATCCTATCGCATCTTTTACCGTCACTCCTCTTTTTTCTATCATGCATCAACAAATAAAAAAGCAAATACCATCGGGATTTTATGAGCCATCACGCCTTCCTCCGGAAGGGAAGTAAAGCCATTGGTCCCCGATCCATGACTTGATGGGTCGATAGGTAGGGTCGGGATAGGTAGGTGTGTGGGTGCTGCCTCCCTGGCGTCGGTAGCATTGGTCCCCTAATAAAAAATACCATGCTCGAACGATAACTTAAATGATACAACTATTCGAAAAATGGTTTGGATGAAACCTTGAATGTAAGATGTTGTCAAGTGAACAATTAAGTCAAGTCTTTATTGCAAAGTAGTATGTGATACAAGGTAGGTTTACAACAAGGTCAAAGTACAAAGATATGGCGCTACAATAAGATCGTTAGTGTAGGTAGGCTAATACGTAACATCTTCCCTTTCAATAATATTCAAAATCACTTAATTTATTGGTCTTCACGGTGCGACCGGAACGAGTCACTGTGTCACCACAGACAAACAGACATAACTCATTGAATATCGCTCACTGTAAAACATCGTCGCTAAAACATTACCGCCATCTGTTGGGTACACTGTGGTGGGTAATACCATAGAGGTAACTCTAAGACCACTGGGTCCCGAAGAAAATCATTATTATTTTTGGCTCACTCAGTACCAGAACAACGGTCCCAAGCAGTCCCAAGCTATTTCACTCACCCCTGCATGTTCTGCATGAATCCACACACCCCTGATGTTATCTGTCAAACTTTCATAGCGAATCAAAACAAACATAGTGTAGTAATAGAATTTCTACTAGAATAGGGTACGTTAATCGTTTGCTTGGGACCAATAGGCTACTAAAGTGGTGAGCCAATTTAAAATCGTTAGTTTCGTATTGATTGTTGGTATTACCATAGAGGTAACTCTAAGACTAGTAGGTCCCGAAGAAACGTGCTCAACTTTTTGGCTCAGCTCAGGTACTATCTTCGGTCCCAAGCTAATCGATTCACCCCTCGAAACATAGGAAAATCCACTAACCCCTCATTTTATCTGTCAAACTTTCATAGCGAATCAAAACAAACATTGTGTAGTACTAGAATTTTGACTAGAATGGGGTACGTTAATCGTTTGCTTGGGACCAATAGGCTAGTCAAGTAGTGAGCCAATTTAAAATCGTTAGTTTCGTATTGATTGTTGGTACTACCAACTACGATACTTTTAAATTGACCGTTAAATTCTTGTTCGATGGAAAACTTGCGAGTGTTATGTCTGTTTGTCTGTGGTGTCACCATCACTTGATGTCTTCACGGGTGAACATCTGTTCCAGTTGACGCTAGTCTCAGCTTCTGCTTTATTTTGTACGTCATGCGAAATCCTATCAGCTAACGATGCACTTTCGTCTCCTTGATCATCTTCATGAATCTTCCGCAAATGATGGGCATTCCTTCTCAGCGTTCTCTCACCATCCGTCACTAGGTACGGGGAAATACAAGTAACACGTCAAAAACTCGACGATTTTCGGAATTTTTTTGTGAGCAAATGAAACAACACAACCGTTTGGGATTTTTTGCATTAAATTGCTTAAATCTACCTCTACATTTGAGATTTTTTTCATTGGTGTGTGACCTCTGTGGCTTCTTGGGGTCACATCGGAAGGAGGTCGCCTCCGGTGGGGATTGGTAATTGGCGGGCGTTCTAGAGACCTGAAAAATGGACAAAACTTACTTTTACCAGTTGGACCTTATTTAGAAAAGATTTTTGTTCTATGTGAACCTCTAAAACCCAAAAAAAAATAGATTTAAAAATTTAGAAAAATACATTTGAAAAAAAGTGGGTTTTTCGCTGTTTTTTTTTCACTTTAGACAGACCTGAAAATTATTTATTGTTGATTTTTTCATGATATCAGTGGTTCACATAGAGTAAAAATCTATTTTCTTTAAG